GACAAACTGCAATAACATACACTTAGCATCCGCTGTGTACTCTCCAGACAGAACTCTAAAGCTCACGCCCATGAACTGTATAATTAGGTTTAGGAGATAAAAGTTACTCGTTGCTCAACTAAAGGATCCATTAAACTGCTCCTTAGAGAGGGTTCCTGCCCTGAAAACTAGTCATGCTCACGTATTTCTCTGCAGCCAGCCCACTTTCTCATACAGTATCTTTACTGTGTAGTACATGTAAAATGCATCACATAAATACTTACTGTAAGTGGTCGTTTATACTACTCAGTGGTCCGCATCCATGATTCCATACCCGAGGATTCAACCAAGCACGAATTGAAAACACGGTATTCTAAAATTCTGTTGTGTACCTGCTGAATATGTGCAGCCTTTTTTCCTTGTTAGCCCCCCCAAAACAGCTATTTACCTAGCATTTACATGGTATTAGGGGTTATAAGTAATCTATAAGTGATTTAAATTCTACAGAGAAGGCACGAAGATTATATGCAAACGCTATGCTATTTTGTAATAAGGATCTTGAGCACTCATGGATTTTGGTGGTTTCATTGTGTGTGTGGGGGGGGGCGGCACATCCTGGAACCAATCCACTGCAAACATCGACTGTATACACAAAGCGATGGCCATATATTTAAATATTAGTACATTAAATTAATATAAAGTAGCAGCACATCCCCTCTTTCCAATCTTTGGCTAAAGTTGTCCTTACCTAAAGGCACAAAGGTAGGAATCAACTTTTTTTTTCTGTAGCAACTACCAACAAAAAATTCCACAAATGTCCAAATTTTGTAATCCAAATAGGTTAATACTTTTAAAATACAATCAAGACTAGAAGGAACTCCATATAGGTGCACCCAAAAATTCATTTTGAAGTTGTGTGTAAGCGCCCCAGAACTACCACTGTATCTGCTTGGTGGGGTGCCTGACCAGACTAGAAGCCTATTTGCACCCATGCAGGGGGCTTCTAGCACTAGTTATGCTACCCTGAGTTCAGGGAAGACTTGAAGAGAAAGCAGATGTGAGGATTATTCAAATAAGCAGTTTACATGGGCATTTCACCATTTTCAGGAACTAACTCCCAAGTTTCTGGGCCCCTAAAAAGTTTCAGCTTGCCTGGAAAACTATTTGCTCTGGAGTCTGCTGATTTTTTCCAGTGTGCGCTTTAGGCCACAGTTACAGACCTTCCTTCACTTAAATCACACAGAGCTGTTAACCTTCCCTAGCTGTCAGTGTGAATCCGGACTTCCTTTAATCCACTCCAAGGTGTGAATGACTGATGGTGCCCTAATCTTCCAGAATTTGCATTTTGAGCAAAGGATGTTTATCACCTACTTGAACTGAGGATTCATTTGGGGCATGTGGGGTGGAGGTCAGCACAAGGGTAATCAGTCTGGGAGTTTGTTGGTCTTTTAAGTGGTTCCAGCTTTCCAAGCCTTCTTTCCCTTTCTCTTCTGAATTTATCTGCTAAGAACTCCATCCTCCCCCTTTAAGAAAGAGAAAACAGGTGTGGGCGCAGATGACAGGTTCCTAATTGGTAGCTTGCCTATCTTCCTAGCATCCTACAAAGGGGCATGAGAGCTTTTGACAGCAAGAAAGAGGGAAACCCATGTTCAGAGGGGGCCTCAGGAGCTTGCATTTTGTATTTTGTGGTGGGTATCAAACCCAGGCCCTGCACATGCTAGGCAAGCATTTTACCACGAGCTATACTCCTAGCTCCTATTTTTGAAATTTAGGCAATTTATATTCTAGCTATATCATTTCCTACATTTAACACACAGAAAGGAGGATACATGCTGGAGATGAAACCCAGGCATACAAAGCTGGGGCTCCACCACTGAGCCACACTCCCAGCCTGATTTCACGTGAGTTCCCTTCACAATTTCAAGTTGTATCATCAGGGGACTTTAAAATGCTGGTAGTTTATCTGCCTAACTTCCACCTAAACCATTAAAAGCAAGCATTAAAAGAGCCTCCCTAAATAATTTAGAGTCCGCTGAATCATAACTCATCACGGTCAGGTTCTAAAATTTAGGTTTTGCACTTTTCAGTAGTTTTTCAACTGAACTTAAGGAATGCCAGCTTTCAAATTTAGATCTGAGAAAAAAGAAAAAGAAATCCTATTCATTTGAAGAGACTGAAGGTTCCAAATTACAGGATCAAATGTGTGTTAACAATTCATCTGCACAGCTGAACCAGTTAAGGCCCAAATCCCTTACTTTTGCTAGGCATGGTGGGGTTCCTCTTTTCCAGCTGTGTCAAAAGCTCTCATGCCCCTTTGTGGGGTGCTAAGAAGTCAGGCAGGCTACAAATTATAAACTTGTTATCTGGGCTCACATTTGGTTTCTCTTTCTTGTGGGAAAAAAAAACAACAAGCAATGGGGTTTTCAGCAGATAAAATTCAGAAGAGGCTGAATGGGAGGCTGAGGCAGGAGGACTGCCTTGTTTGAAGCAACCTGAGCTACAAAACAAGATCCTAATTTTTAAAAAAAGTTCCCCCAAATCACTCGAGTTTGCATAAAATATTAAAATATAAACACAGTTGGGATGCAGAGGTAGTCCAGGGGCAGAGCACTTGATTACATGCAGGAGGTCCTTGGTTTGCATTCAGCATGGAAACACACACACACACAACCTTTTTAAAATTAGAAGTAACTCTTTAAAAAATCCTTAGGTTTTTGTTAAGACAGAACTTGCAATTTTCTTGTGCCTATTTTAGATATCTTTTTAAAAAACCCAATCCCTACACAACACCTTTCACAGAATGATCAAATTTGCCAGGTGTAGTGGCAAACGTGTCATCTTAACACTCTGGGATGCTAAGGCAGGAGGATCACAAGGTTGTCCAGGCTGTGCAACTCACCAGCTTTGTGAGACCGTCTCAAAAGGGGGGCGGTGCACTGGGGATATAGCATCAGAGACCAAACTGTGGGTTCATTCCCAGTACTAACTTACTAAATAGCAAATGAGGCTGGGGGTATGTGCAAGATTGTTCAATCCCCAGCACCACCAAGAAATAATAGTACTGTGGCCGAGTCTAATTTTAGAATTTCCTGTTTAAAACCTCAATCTTTGATTTAAATATTTCTAGTTACTCCTTTGTCCACAAAGACCTTATTATTCTTAAATTGGGGCCTTCCTTTCAAACCCCTATTCAAGCAGCTTACGAGTTCTCCTTTTACTCATCTTAAAAAGTATTCAACAGGCTAAAGCTCAAGTTCCCATTTATTAGTACATGTTTGCTGTAAGGGACACACAGTGACAGGGACACGCATGGATTCTCTGCAAGTCCTCACAGTCCACCGCAGGACATGCACACTGGGCTACCTCTGTGATGGGCTCCCACACAGCCCCCGTTTTCCAATTTAACTTGCAAGTACAGTTAAAAATATGCTCTAATTCTATTCTTACTTTTAAGCATTTCATGGGAAATTATATGCAAAGCCGTTTCCAGTCTTCTTCCTCAGTTAGGTGGGAGTTGAGGGGGTAGATACGGAAGAGACAGGAAGTCTGTTCATTCTCTTAAAAATGAAATCATTTGAGTTCCCCTCGTCCAGTTAGAAATTTTACATATGAAGATAATATTAACGGAAATACTTATAATAATAGCAGACTTTGTCACTGCTCTGGTGTAAATGATTTAAACAAAAGTAACTGTGATTCCACAGCTTCTAATTTCAGATGCTTGAACAGTGAGCAGAAAGCAGCTCTCTTAGGATTCTTTAAAAGTGTTTACTGAGCATATCACTCAAACGCATAAAGTAGCTATTTTATTTCCCTTAACTCAGATTTCTTTCTATTCCAAGATTAAGGTTTCTGGGGCTGGGGATTTAGCTCAGCGGCATAAGCGCCTGCCTTGCAAGTGTGTGGTCGTGAGTTCGATCCCTGGTACCGATAAAAATGAAAAAGACAAAAAAAAAAAAAAAAAAAAAAGATTAAGGTTTCCTGCAATGGACTGGCCAATGTCACTAATTTGGACTGTCAGTGTTTTTCACACACGTAAACAGTTTCACAGGTCCTTCCTCTCACTTCCTCCACTTACCTTGGATATAGTATTTTCAGTTTTTGAACAGGCCAAGAAATTGAGCCACAGGAAAAAGGTACAAATATCCCAGGACTAGAGATAGTTGGCCAAGAAGTCCAAGGTTAGATAGCGTATATGTCAAGCTTTAAGTTTCTGGTTTGCTTTAGCTGGTTACAAAATTAGCAGGCATTAATAAACTCAATTATATGGGAATCAAAATTTGAGGGTGGAAAAAAAAGAGCATGGTGACACTCTTTTCCCCCACGGACAGCACTATGCAGAGCCAGGTACACACTCTTGTAACACTGAAGACTGCTTGTCACATCATTGTTCTGTGGGACTCTGGTCATGAAGGGACAATGAAGCTCCAATGTGTACGTCCATCATGATCTGGTTTCTCTTCAGAGCACACAAATCTTTCACCTTTTACCAACTGGTAAGTTCAGCAGGAAGCAGAAGACAAAATATACAATCATTCTGAAGGCTAGTATAATTAAACATACTTTCATTCCAATTTACCTTATTTTTATTTTTTGGTACCGGGGATGGAACTCAAAACTTCGTGTGTCAAGCAAGCACTTAACCCACCCCTAATTTACTTTAAAAAAAAAAAAACCTAATACATCTAAAAGTTACAGATGAACTAAAATGTCCTTTAAAAGAGATACAGAACATAGTACTATTTAGCACTGCTAATCCTGTGAAAGCTACCTTAACTGTCTTGAGAAACAAGACAGTTTACTGAAAGAAAACAAAAACCAGAATTTTCTCGTTGATTTTTTAAAAAATGCATCTAAATATGATAGCAGAAATAACAAGTTCTGTCAGTAGTGACACACTAGACCAAACTTGGTCTAACAATTAATATAGTCCTCAATTCACCTTGCATTTCCAAAAATAAAAAGTATGAATAAAAATTTAAGAGAAAAATTATTAAAAGAAACAAAGACACAATTCAAACTTACTTTGAAAAATCTGATTTTATTTTCTAAATCAGTAAGAAGTATATTTGCATTCAATTTAGAACATTTAGCTTTCCATCAATCACTCAAAGTACTTTCTGGATATTAACAGTGCTCACTCAGAACTGTGTAGAAGTTTACAGGCAGTATCATGTTTTCTAAGAAACCTTCAAGGTATTGGTGATTCTAATTTAACAATAAAGCAATTTAATTATCATTGGAATGAAAGTGACAATGGGTTTTCAGGAGCTAAAAATCAGATCTCTTTTACTTTTTATCAGTACCAGGGATCGAACTCACAACTGCCTGCTTGCAAGGCAGGAGCTTATGCCGCTGAGCTAAATCCCCAGTCTCCAAAAATCAGATCTCTTTTAAAATAGAAATCAATCCCACCCATACTTAACAATTTCAATTGAATATAACACCTCCCAATTTCCAAATGATTAACTGTATTATTTCACTTTAATATAGGAAAATTATAAAATGGAATTTCTAAATTATCACACATATATTAATTTACCATTTGAACTGTCATTTTGCTAGCTGAATTATGAAATAAAAACAAATTCTACATCTGTGGGGCAAATAACAAGAATTCGTTTTCTCATTGTTTTAAGAGTTCTTCCCATTCTTTGTTGTTTTTTATACCCATACTTTAAAGTCATGACCAAAGACCACGAGTCAACCCATCTATCTGAATTAGTCATAGATACTGGTCCTCCATATAGCACGTGTCCTTTAGTAAACCTAGAACTCAGGAGGAGTCTGCAGGAGCTACAAGACCTGTATGTGAGTCAGGAACACGTTCAGATTCCCAAGAGCTGTGCGAGCCATGTCCCCAGCTCCAGCTGACATTATTCACGGGTTGTTCACGTGTACTGAAGCATGTCCAGCATGCACACCAACGTCTGTGTTCAAGTTGAGGTAAAACAGAGAAAAAGTAGTTTGACAGAACTACATAATTAAAAATACACTTCTCTTGGCTTATTTCATATAAACTAATTTTTAAATTTCCTCATACAAAAAGAGACAAGCCAATTTCTAATTTAAAAAATTAAGGTTTTCCTTTTCAAACCCAGCTTTAGTAAATAATGTTTTGAAATACAGAAAAGTCTGCATTTTATACTTAGCATGATGTGATTTCTTATTATTTCTCAAATTTAGGAAAAACTCATGTCTGGGTGTTATTCAATGTTTTTTCAGATAACAATACTGATAGGATTCATAGGACTTTCTGACATAGTAAAGTTTGCTAACATTTACAAAATCCCAGCCACTCTTCCTTCAAGCATAAAGGACATCTGAGAATTAGAAATTAGGATTTGTTTTTAATGCAAAGCCATATTTAAATCTTCTTTTTGGCCAATATTTTAAATAGTAGATTTTACTTAGCTTGTAGGTCTCAAATCAAAACAGACAAAAAGCAAATGAAAATTACAACTGGCAACAAGTCCCACATTCCAATGTAATTTTTAAACCAACAACGAAAACCTACTGCCAGTAATTATTTATATGTAACTGCTCATTTTATTAAATAAGCACTGATCAGTTATATGAAATAATTATCTGCAAGAAATGGTACTGGCTGCTGGGTTACTAGAAAACACCAGCTCTTAAGCACTGTAATTTGAGTTAATAAAAGAATATTTATTTTTAAAAGCATATTTAAATGTTACTTTTCCATTGATAGATTCTAGGGAATCTAGTGCCAACTAACATGGTCAATTAAAAAAACAGATCCCTAAGCCACAAGGTAATGGAATATTACACTTGTTATATGATATGGAAACAGTTCCAGGCAGACCAGAAGAAGAAAACCTGCCAAATTAAAGTACTGTAACTGAAGCTCATGTTCTGCACAACCCCTGCGCTGCAGAAAAACCTCAAAAATCATAATCAAAACCTCCCTAAGCCCCCCCCCCAAAGTAACCTACCGGGAGCACTTTAGTTTTGAGCGAGGATCGCCCTAGGATGTTACAGCAGAAGCCTTAAGGTACCAGAGCTGCAGCACCACCTGCTGCAAGCAGGCGCCACAGCAGAGAGGAGACGCCCAAGGGGTCCAGGGCTGCCACCCACCCTTACCGCCCCGCCCAAGGGGTCCAGGGCTGCCACCCACCCTTACCACCCGCCGGGAAGTGTAAAAGCGGCTATAGTTTTTCTTATGCTAATACAGGCACACCACCTACTGTGCTAAATACTAAAACTAGGAACATTAGAGCGGTAAAGTGAAAACAGGAAGGGACCGCAGGGATCTAAAAGCACACGTAGAAGAAACAAAGCGGCACAGACCCTTTACCCTCCGGCTTTGTTTGCAGGGAAGTGGCTGCATGAAGCAGCCAGATTTACCCACAGGAACAAAAATTTAACAAAGCTCCCCCAAGACACCAGAATAAAACTTGACCTTTCCAGTCAAAGGGCACAGAGATGCCTCTTCCACGACCTGGAGTTGAATGAGTTCAAAGATTGCCAATAAAGGGAAAAAGAAAGCATTAGTGGTGTGGCGGGCTGGGCCCTGAGTTTATCGCACAGTCACACCAAGCTTCTCCAGCACGCGGACGCCTTTCTCTTGGTACTCCTGCCGGGTCATCCAGAAGTTGTCTTTGTCTTTCATGATATCAGCCAGAACTGCGCCACCCAGGAAGACCATGTGCTTTCTGCGGGGTGGGTCTTCAATGCGGATCTTAAATTTCTAAAGGAAAGAGAGAGGAGCCTAAGATGTCACACATGCACAGTGCTTTCCGCTTCATGAAAATACATTTTGCCATATGAATCTCACAACAGTCCCGCAACGTAAATATGACAGCAGGGTTTGGTATCTGCGGTGCCTCTCATTTGACTGCCCCTACCAAACTCACAGCTAAGAGAAACACACCCATTCCAGGGTGCTTGGAACGGTCCTAATTCACACCTGCGTCCTATCATTAACAGCACCCCTTTCACTCTCCAAAGGGTGCTGATTTGAAGGCTAAATCAAAAACAGAAAGAAGCACTACTGAGAGCCCAGTGCCAGAGGTGAGGCTGGCAGGTTACCCCTCAGCTCCTAACCTCTGAGCTAACTCAAACCTGGAAAGGGGGACCGGCAGGGTCTCCTCCAGGTCTAGTGATGCTTTGATTCCACTCCGAGAGGAAAACTGAATTATTTTTTTTCCTGTGGTGCCTCCGGAGGCTCAATCTTAGGACCTCATACATGCCACGCACGGGCTCTACCACTGAGCTATTGTCCACAGGCCTAACTAAAGTTCTTTCTTTATAAGCAAAGCTCATTTTCTAATGTCTCAAATTCATAGAAATGTTCTCAAAATAAATGAAGCCAAATATGGTCAAAAGAAATCATGGGGATGCTGGAGAAAATGAATACAGTAACCAAAATTAAAGACAACTGGGAAAAAATTTATACTCTATAGCTACTATTAAGTGTTTTAAAAGACCCTAATCTGTATGGTTGGTGAAAATCTGAAACAGAAACCTTAAAATGACACTGCTGTTTTTACTTCAGGCCAAAAGTCCTGCAAAAAAAAACTCAAAACAATGTCATTCTGAATTTATGTCTTTATGGTACATAAACAAATAGGAATCTAATAACCTAATAATCTAACACTGAAAAACGTCAGTTTATGTATTTGTCAATTCTGAGACCAACTTCCTGTCCTAATTGTTTTAGTTACTTTTCTACTCTTAGGTAGGGATCCACAATGTTTTATAAAGAACCAGTCAGTAAGTACTTGAGGCTTTCAGGGTCTCTGGCAGCTTTACAAACCCATGTGTAGCTAGAAGAGAGCCAGAAACAGTATGCGACAATAGGTAACACTAGGTAAACAAACCCGCCTGTGTTCCAAGCAACTTGACAAGGGTTGCAGTGTGCACAGCACTGCTCTGAGGAAAGTCAGACTCCCTGCCCTAAGCCCCTGCGGTCGGCTGGCTGCTGTCCCCTCCTCCACCCCCGCCCTGAAGGCAGGACCTGCTCCTTCTATGTCTGGCCCCAGGCTGCGCTTGGCCCCCAGGCTGGGCGGCTGATGAAGTGCCTTCTCTCATTACGCCGCCTCCCACTGTTCCTTGCTGAAGGCACCTAGAGACACTGCGGACACCCGACCTCCAGGTTGTCTTCACATCCTAGACTCTTGGTTCCTACATGCTTCTGTCTGCTCTACTACTTCCTGACCCTGTCCTTGGTGACTCTGTCCTTTCTCCCTTTACACTGACCTGGCAAAACACCGCACAACTTAGGTTATCAGTTGGACTTTGCACCTGCCCTGAAGTAGCCAAACAAGACAGAAAACTCAACATCTTGGAGTAATTCACTTTGAATACTCCCTACTCATCCAGAGTAGCTGTTTGTCATCTTTCTCTCCCTATTTCTCTATCTTCAAATAAATTTTTTTTATTTAAAAGAAAAAACAAAGCTCAACGTCTTGCCTGGTGTGGTGGCACATGCCACAGTGCCAGTCCTCGGGAGGCTGAGGAGATCATTGAGCTGGAGGCCAGCACGGGCTACAAAGTGAGTTCAAGGTCAGCCTCAAGAGCACAGTGGAAACTTGGCTCAAAAGGAGAGACAAAATACCCAAACCAAAACTGAAACACCTCAACATCTTGCTTTAAACTGTTACCGAGCTCAATTAGGCCCTCAGTGCTGTTTGAAAATCCTGTCACACTTCTCCGTTCATGTCTTCTGTTATCCAAGCCAACTATTTTAACCTCCTCCTGTACCACATTTTCTACATCTTCCCTTCTCTCACAGGTTTTTCTTGGTCTCCTAACCGGTTTTCCTTGATCTGCCTGGATTCCTTCTTTTCCCAAGAACCTATTCTCCACACCAAACTTACTCATCTTTTTCAAACCTAAGTTGGATCGTATCATTTCTCTGCTCAAAAGCCTCCCAAGACTTCCCAACTGACTAGGAGCAAAGCCAGACCTCTGGCATGGCTCAACAAGACGAGTATCCTAGGGCTGGGGACACAGCTCAGCAGCACGGCACTTTCCTGGCAAGTACAAGGTCATGAGTTCAACACCTGGTATAAAAACAAATCTTGATTAAGGCCGGCACCGTTGTTACCATTTTGAGCACGTCTTGCACGGGCGTCCTCTACTCACTGGGACCCAGCCACGTAGGCACCCTCTACCAATTCAGGGCCTTTGCACTCTTCCTGCCTGAAAGATTCCCCCGCTCAAAGTCATATGTTAGGCTGGGCATGGTGGCACTTGCCTCTTATCTTATTACTCTGGAGGCTGAGGCAGGAGGACTACTGCAAGTCTGAGGCTAGCGTGGACCCCATAGTAGGCTGAGGGCCAGCATAAACTACAGACCAAGAAAAAGACCAAAAAAAAAAAAAAAAAAAAAAAAAAAGTCCTACTGTGTTACTAGGAGTAGGGCTTTGAACAAAAGCATCTCACTAGAAGAGCCTTCCCACCGAGGAGGAATGGCTTCCTTCCTGTGCTCTTCCAGAGCCATTAAGAAGCACATCACCTTCTCCACTGCTTTTGGTTTTCTAGTGTCTAACTTTTTTCTTTACTACTTACTACTACGCATTAATTGTTTAGCTGAGAAGCAGGGGTTTTATCAATTGTGTTTGTCTCCAGCATCTAGACCGATGGCTGGCACCCAAAGAGAGTTCAAACATCTGCTGGGCTGGGGATTTAGCTCAGTAGTAGAAGCTTCCCTAGCATGTGTGAGCAAATGGGTTCAAGCCCAAACAGGGCAGGGGAAAAAAAAGCTGCTGAATAAATGATCATTGCAGATGACTTTTAAATTATATGTATAACTCAATAAAACCAGAAAAATGAGTGAAGTACTTAGATAACATGGCTCCCTTCCAGGTATTAATTTGCTTAATGTGTCTGACGAGCCCACACTCAACATCATTTGAGTAACTTGAAAAACATATGAAGGATGTAACATCAGCGTGTGCAAAACCTACAATGCTCCATAGTATGCCATGCCCTTATCTGTAACAGCTGACCAAAGACAGCGAGACAAAGCTGAGGTTAACCCAAGATGAAGTGACTCCTGGCCGAGAGAGACCCTGGCGGAGAATCACCAATGGTTTCTAACTACAGTCTGTTTCTAGAGCTACGACAGTTACAGATGTGCAAAAGAACTGGACATGTGTCTTAGGAAGCTAAGACACAGGCAACAAATAGCCAGGAAAACAACCTAAAATCAGATTTATAAGACAGACCAAGAACACTGCTGGACACTAATTGCATATTCAAATATTTAAACAGAAAAGTCAACAAATAAAACCACAGCCCAACACCAGGCTCTTCTCCACTCACAGCACGGCAGGCCGTGCCCCACCGGCTCTCAGAGCACACAGGACTCACCTGCCTTCACCCACTGAGCAGAGGTCGCCTGGCCACACCACTGTCCTGGGGACAGCACTCCCAGGCCACCCTGATCCGCGGTAGCAGAAATGAGTTTAGAAAGACTTCTTGCTCCCTCTAGTGGTTGTCAAGATTCAAAGGTTACAGGGTTTAAAAGACTCTTGGATTAGGGATACTCACAGAAAGTTTTTCCACATCTCCCTTTAAGACTCGTTCTAGGTAGAGCTGTTTAAGTTCACGTTCCAGCCGTGATGGCAGGCCAGGATACATAGTAGATCCTCCAGAAAGCACAATGTGCTTGTAGAATTCAGATCTAGGGAGACACAACAGTTATGTACTTAGGGTTTCAGATTAGGAAAATCAGGAGTACTGTTATTTATCTTCGTAACTTTCCTTTCTGGGGACAAGTCCTCACTATGCTGGTCGCAGACTCTTGGGCTCAGGCAGCCCTTCTGTCTGTCTTCCCAGTGCCCCCTGCTCTAGGGTCACTAAATCATAGGTCTAAAGTTTGCTATTACCTCTCTCTAAACTAAAATTTTTTAATAATTTGGATTAAAATGCTTTTAAAAGCATATGACATACTTTCTTACAGATGTAATTAATGGAGTCTTTAAATAGTGACAAAAGTTTCCATATTCTGAACTCTCAGTATTTGGTCCATTATCGTAACGTTTCCCTGTAGCAATGGTGATGTGTTTGTTTACTGCACTTCGCATATATTTCTCTGACTCCTCAATTTTTCTATTTGTTATTTGTAGTGTCTCTTTTGCTCCTTTGCTCTGAGGCTGTCTGCTGCTGTTTTTGGCTACATTGGTGAGTTTGCTTCTTCTATCAGTGCATTGTTGTTATATATACCGTTAGCTATGAAGTCTAACCAGAAGTGTAACCTAAACTAGCTGCACAGGTAATGAAAGTAACAAGGTGGAGGGAGTCTACAGCTCAGGAGCGCAACCTCAGCGCTAGCCTGGTGCAGACGTCCCTAAGTTTTCACTTGCTTCAAGTTCTCCAAAGCTAAGGCTAATACAACTCTGCATTCTTCATTCTACTGTTTTGCATTAACTGTGGTGAGGGCAGTGTAAGCCAAGCAGGAAGTGTGGCTCCACGCAGTACGGAGACAAAACGTTTACATGTGTCTACATGCAGAACACACACAACCAACGGTGCCCACCTTCCTACGTAACCTCGGTGGAGAGGGCACTGGACCCGATTCCCGTGCTTCTAAATGCCAGAACTTCAATCATCATCCACCACACACTCTGTATTGGCTTCTGCTGTTAATGAACAGTAAATCAAGGACAAAACCATCTAAAGTCCTGCCATGAAGAATTTACCATAGTTACGGAAGCTAGATTCAATTTTTTTTTATTTTCTATTAGGTTTGTTACTTGCAAGTCAACTATTATTTTTTCCATTATTAACCTGGCTCCTCAGTCATCCTACCAAAGCTAATCAGGTGGTTATTTAATTCAGGCTTACGTAAACGAACACATACTTGCTTCACGAAATGCTTTAGGGTGAATTTCTCTATAACCTGGGTACAGAGGAAGCTTTATAACTGACTCGAGCTCTGGATGCAATGAAAACATTATGGAACTCTTTGTTTGTTTGTTTTTTGAGATAGGGTCTCATATGCAGTCCAAACTAGCCTTGACCTAGGCCAGCCTCAACAAAACGATTCTCCTGCATCAGTGCTGGGATTACAGGCATATTCCATGGTCCCAGCAAATCATTTTACACAATGAAGTTAAACCAAATTTTTGCATGGCCAAAAACCACAAGCAAAAGACAATGAATTGTGAGAAAATATCTGTAACAGATATCACAAAGCCAAAAGACAAAATTTTGAAGACTGGAAAAAAAAAAAAAAGCAAAATCGAATTCTATAGAACAGGCAAAAGTCATGACCAGACAATTCATTCTCATTCTCGCTTCTTTTCCCTCAAAGTGGCCCTTAAAAGCATATAAAACATATGTTCAACTTCACTCTTAATAATAGAAATGAAAATTAAAACTATACTGAGATGATTCCCCACTCAGCAGATTGGTAAAAAAGTAATGAACTTGACAAAACGTGGGTATGGGCCCACAAGGACCCTCACATGTCACGTGGCGGCAGGAGAAACGGTCAGCTCTCATAGAGGTGTGCTGCTGACACCTAACCAAAAAGACGAGAACCGACATCAAAATAAAAACTCCCCACAGCAAGTGAGACACAGTAAAGAGGCAACACACGGGAAAAAATACTACAAACCACGTGTATGAGTAGCATTAATATTCAAAATACACAAGGGACTTAATTACTCAACTCTAAGAAAATAAACCAATTAAAAAATAGGTTAAGGAACTGAACAGACATTTCTCAAAAAACAAAACAAATGGCTACTGCTGTGTGATAAAAAATTTTAATTATCAGAAAAATGCTAATTAAACCACAAAGAGATAGCATCACGTACCTATTAAAATGGCATTATTATTATTATTATTAATTATCGATATGGTCTTGGTAAGAAGGTCAGGTTGGCTTTGAACTCGTGGTGAACCTTCTGCCTCAGTTTCCTCAGGGCTGAGATTACAAGTGTGTACCACCACACTCAGTTTAGTCAACTGTTGCTGAGGACACAGTGAAAAGGGAACCTTTATTCATTGTGGGTGACAATATAAATGAATTCAGCCATTATTAAGAAAAACAGGATGAGGCTGGTGGGGATGCCGCTCAGTAGAGAAACAGCCTACAAGGCCCAAGTCCTGAATTCAATCCCCAGCACAAAGAAAAAGGAAAAGCCAAGCGTGGTGGTGCACACCTGTGATCTCGGCACTCAGAAGGTGTAGACGGGAGGTCTTGCTATATAGCAAGAAAGCAAAACAAAACACAAAGAAGTGCCACCATTTGTACAAGACAGATGGACCTAGAGACGATTTGTTAAGTAACTCAGGACAGAAAGAGGAATCCTGCATGATCTCCTAGAGCCCAAGTCTAAGCAGAGTAGGGGTTTCCCAGGGGCTGGGGTAAAGCAGGGGGATGTTATGAAAGGATGCAAACCTTCAGGTAGGAGGAAAAAGCCAAGAGTGCTACTATACAACACAATGACCATATCTAACAATATACAGATACCTAAAAACCGCTGAGAGCAGACTTTAAGTGTTCTCACTACAAAGACTGTGTATTAAGTAATTAGCTCAATCTATCCATTCCACGATATATATACATACATAATTCCAAAACATGTTGCATACCACAAGTACACTCAATTTTTGTCAGTTAAAATGTTTTCTTTTGGGACAGACCTGTAATCCCAGTACTCTGAGAGGCTGAGGCAGAGGATTGCAAGTTCCAGCTCAGACTGGATAACTAAGCAAGATTCTGGGTTGAAATCCCAGTAACCCAATGATAACAACAAAAAAATGCATTTACCCTCTGATCCAGTAGCTTCTCTCCAAGAACCAACAACACAAACATATTTGTATGCACAATGCACTCTTACCACAAATTTAAGAATCTACTCTAACAACCAACAGTAAGAGATGCTCATCAAATTAATCAAGATATATTCATTCAATGAAGTACTATGCATCTGAGAAAAATGAGGACAGTCTCTATGGAGTGCTATTGGATTATTTAGACTGTACTGGTAAGTGGAAAAAACTCAAGTGTAAAAGTGATTTCAGTATGCAGGCTTTTGTGTAAGAAGAGGAAATAAGAAACAGAATAAAAGAAACTAACAAACTCATTTTTCTTTAAGGAGGAAAAGAATCGCAGAGGTGACTTCTCAGTATATTTTTTATATAGTGGTTTATTTTGTTTTTTGAGACAGGTCTCATTATGCAGTTCAGGCTAACCTTGAACTATGTAGCCCAGGCTGGTCTTGAACGTGTAGCAATCCTCTTGCCATAGCCTCCCAAGTGCAGGGATTACAGGTGTGTATCACCATGCCTGGCTTTTTTTTGAGACAGGGTTTCACTAAACAGTGCGGGTTGGCCTTGAATTCACTTATGAAGCCTACACTGGCCTCGAACATACAGTGATCCTCCTGCCTCATCCTTCCAGATGCTGGCATTACAAATGTGCCCACCACACCCAGATTTTATATAGTTTTTACTATATAGTTAGTGCTCTACACATTTAGAAAACATGGAAACTGATGAGGGCATGTCAAGGAACACAGAAGCCTACTCTGAAGTAACTTGGCCAAGCCAGGAAAAATATGAGCATTACATGAAGAAGAACAGTAATAAATTATAACCCACACAATAAAATTATGAGTTCATGCTAGGAGCTAAAAATAATGAAGGAAAACATTTACTTATGCTAGATGTCAATTAACAAATATGTAAAAACTGATGAACGTAGAAAATCTCTTTCTGCAACCCCAACAGTAAAAATGGATTGAGGCAAGGGTCATCAATGGGTGTAGATGGGGAGGGGCAAAGTGGTAAGGAATAGGGTGCCTACATATCCTCAATGTGCGTCTCTACCAATTATGTATTAACTATGAAAAGAAAAACAGTAACACTACACTGTGGAGAAATGGAAACTTCACCGAGAGTATAAACTAACATCATCGATAAGAAACAGCCATCACCCCTGGATGTGACATCCAGAAAAGGCAGAGCACATAGCAGGCTAGCCACAGTGCATGATCTGAATCCAACTGTTAGAAAACAAAGCCTAATTAAAACCGTTACATACTTGCTCTGTTCTCTGTAAAGATGTCCAAGTCATCGAAGACTGAACAAATACACCTGATAAAGGGGCCCAGCTTGGGCAACTTAGCAAGACCTTGTCTCAGAATAAAAATGGCAAGGCCCAGCATTCTAGAGGCTGGGGCTGAGGTAAGAACACAGGTTCAAGCTAAGCGTGGTGACTCAGTGACCAAGTAAGATCGCCTCAAAACAAAGAGGCTGGAAATGTGGGGGACGCAGCTGAATGCCAAGGCCCTGGGTCAAATCCTTAGTACCATCGCCACCAAAAAAGGGACTAAGAGATGTGACAAAACACAACGTAAGCCCTAGGAGATTTGATCCTACACAGGATGGAAGAAAGACCGTGCGAACAACACGAAAGGAGCCAGGCGTGGTGGGGCACAATCTCAGTGTTTGGGAGGCTGAGGCAGAAAAATTGTCACAAGTGCAAGACCCACCTGGGCTACACACAAACTGAGTTCCAGGGCAGCCTAACCTATAGAGCAACACCTGGTCTCAAAAATAAACAAGTGGATGAAATGGAAATGGATGGTGAATAAAGTATACCAATAACAATCTGCTGAACTCAGTTCTTAGGCTGTGACTATGTTAGTATTTCTTCCCTCGATACACAAACTATTAAAGGAAATTGATGTGTTGAACCTACTCTCAAATGGTACAGAAAAAAAAATGGAAATAATGATAAATATATAGAAGATTATAAATCAGTAAAATGGTGAAATTACATAAAAAGATATACCTGAGTTTCCTAAATTCTTTCCACTTTTCTTCAGACTTGAACGTATTTCAAAGTAAGGTTAAAGTGGTTTCTGAGACCAATGTAATACATGGCCCTCAACACCCAGTACAGTAGTCAGGTGTGGGGTGCACACCAGCAACCTCACTTCCAGGGCCCCGGGAGTCCGCATGCAGCCCGAGTGCTCGGCAGCTGAGGAGATGCTGTCACACACACGCACGCACACACACACACACCCGAGTTTGCTAAGGACACAGCTCGGTGCAAAGGCCTAACTCTGCTAGGTGAACAAAATGAAACTTACTTTGCTTTAACCAAAAATACAAGAGAGGTAACGGATAACTTGTTCACATAGATTGTTACAATCCATTTTTTCCAATAAATAACTTGGAAACCACCATGTCTTTCATACCTGGTGTCAATATCAGCTGCCTGGATTGTGTTAAAAAGCAACTCAGCAACACCAACTCCCTCCACATTGATCAAGTGAGGCTGGAATAGAGCTTCTGGTGCTTCAAACCTCTCTCCCCCAACTTTAATAATCCGTCCATCTGGGAGCTGAAAATGCACAATGAGCATGTACCGGTCAGTAAGACACTCAGACCCCTCAGTGTTCCTGAAAACACTGCAGCACGTTTGTTCCACAGCCAAACACAGCACTAGCGCAGCAATTCTTCCCTTAAATATTTAAGTGGGAAAAACGAAAAATATTCAAATAACACACTCTCATAAGGTCTATTCTATAGATGTAATTCAGGGGGAAATCATGGAGGTCTACGTGGAGCCACGAGACTCCACGTGCACGCACAGCACAGCGGGACAGGCAGCCACACCTGACAGGGGGACCCTCGTTACACTAGTGTGTGTCAGTGCTGCTGATTCATAATTTCAGCATATCAGTGATTTTATGGATTTTTTTTTCCGGTGTAGAAGACACATTAAACATTTTAAACTATTTTCTAAAATAAATCCTTGAGCTACATTTATAGAAATTAAAAACAATTTCTTTCACCAAATAATTGTTCCATGAAGTTATTTTGCCAGCAAAATATTCTGTGCTGATTCTGTCTAGTTCAATTAAAAGATATTTAAGATAACAAGCTTAAGAGGCCAGGCATGGTAGCACACACCTATAATCTTAGCACTCAGGAGGCTGAAGCAAGGGGATCACTGTTAAGGTTGAGGCCAGCCAGCACTATGCAGGCAGACCCTTCTCAAAAGACAAAAACTTCAGGCCAGGGATTTAGCTCAGTGGTGTAAGTGCCTCCCTGGCAAGCACAAGGTTGAGTCTGATCCCTAGTATCAGAAAGAAAAAAAAAAAAAACAAAAAATTCAAGAGACATTATATGGTATTTTGAGACAGGGGACATGTTAGTAGGCTTAAACTGGCCTCCAACTCACTATGTAGCTTTCCTGGCCTTGAACACGCAATCTCCATGCCTTAGCTTCCAGAGTAGATGAGATTAGGCATATGCCCCACACTGATTTTTTATTAGGCCATTTTGTTATCTCCTACAAAGTTCTAATAAATTTCAAATAACTGATAAATACAGTAATAATTTCAATCAACAAACATTTATTTTTTGAGGGTGGGGGATCTGGGAATCAAACTCAGGACCTCACGTTTGCAAGCAGGTGCTGCACCATAGGTTAAACACCCAGCCCTAAATAAGTAAGATTTAAACAGCAGGTCAAGCTGGGTGTGGTGGTGCATGCCTGTAATCACAGCACCCAAGAGGCTGAGGCAGGAGGGTGACTGTGAGTCCAAGGCCAGGCTGGACTGCACAGCAAGACCCTGTCTCAAAAAATCAACCCACCAAACCACCAAACAAACAAAAAATAGCAGGTCAAGCATCGTAACATGACCCACAGAGAAAACAATTGACACTGTGTTTACATAGTTAAGAAAAATGTTACGTAAAAACACCTGTCTTAAACTCCCCCTCACAACTCATTACACAGACCGAAGTATAAACATGTTACATATATTTTTGACACATTTCTATATGAAATGAGAATGTTTGCACAGTAACATTTCTAACAGTACAGTAACTTATAAGTAAAAAATTTATAATTATATTCTATAAGATTTATAATTTTACACTTTCAGTACGATAAAGTACCATAAAAGTATGTTTCTTAAAACAGTCCAAGTTTGCTGAAATTGTTTGCAGATACATATAAGGAATATCATTTTCAAAATTCAAGAATGACCTTTACATACATGGTGCTGAGTTTCTTAGCTCTTTCTCGTGTTTGGTGACCCTTATCATCACTCACTCATCCGTTTGCTGTGTTATACTTGTATATATTTTTGTACTGCTTGAGGAAGGAGGGAAGAAATAATATGTTTTATGTTTTAGTTCTCTCATTGTCTGCTTTGTGCTATTTCTTCCAAATCATTCAGAAAGATGGAAAAGTACAAAGCTAGAGAGAAACTGTCAAGAGGCTTTAAGAGGACAGTCCAGGGAAAACTGGAAAGCATCAAGTTACAAAGTGAGTTTCACTGTGTATTCAGACTGATACCTGTAAAGAAATTATCATTACTTGAAAATGATTACATATTTGGGGCTGGAGCTATAGCTCAGAGTAGAACACTTTTCTAACATGTCTGCAAACCTGGATGTCTAGCACCACCAAAAAATAAATAAAACAGAAAAAAACCTAAATTGCCATTGTGTACATATCTATGAACGTGTAAAACCAACAGGGATCATACAGTTTAAGAATATTGTAACCCAGTACTCAGGAAGCCGAGGCAGGTCGAATGCCTGAGTTCAAGGTCAGCCTAGGCTACATACTGAGACTTTATCTCAAAAAAATCAAAAACCTTGCTTTTATTCTGTTATTATTTTAGCAATTACTAAATTTAAGTATCAGTTACAATTTGAGGTTAACATTTGTTGTGAACACCTCATTAAAAAAATATTGGTCAGGAAAGGCTGCCACCTGCTGAATTAGTAAAGCAATACTCTAGTAGGACTACTTCCCAAAGCAAGGTCACTAGGTCCATTTCTGAAAAGTTCTGCAGCTTACCAAATTTAAGACACAGGCATTATGAAAAAAAAAAGACCAAGACAAGAAAAGAAAAAGACAGCCAAGCGTGGTGGTGCACTCCTGTAATCCTAGCACTCAAGAGGCTGAGGCAGGAGGACCATTTGCAAGTTTGAGACCAGCCTGGGCTACATAGTGAGCCCAAGGCCAGCCTGAACCACATATCTTGTCTCAAAAAGACAAAAAAAAAAAAAAAAAAAAAAAAAAAAAAAAAAAAAAAACCCAAAACCCAAAATAAAAACACAGGCATACTCTAGCCTCACAGCTAAGTACATATCAGCATATCAAACAATCTCAGAAATCCTACAGTCAAGTGAAATCAGACATCTCCCTAATTTACCTGATAACTGTAACTTTTTAAAATTTTGTGAAACTCTTAACATGTCAGAGAAATCATCACTCTGTAAAACGTTAAGAAATACTGTCCCAGATTCTAGAATCTCAAAATAATATACCTAATTGTATCTTAGGGTAGAAATAACTTATGATTTTTGTCTGAACTTACATTATATAGTTACCAAAATAATTAAATCATAGAATTTTAATCTATTTAAAATACACATGTAAAACATAACAACCTGAAACAACAATACTGATTCCAGGGGCTAGCAATTTAGCTTAGCAGTAGAGTGTTTGCCTAGGATTATGCAAAGCTCTGGGGTTCAACCCCCTAGCACGATTAAATACTGAAGACTGATTTGAAGAAAAGTTCTTTAATAAGATGACACCAATAATGAGAGATGTCCATTTTTAACATGTTCCCACCCGCTTGGAACCACTGGTGATACCTGCCTGACATCCCATCAGGTAGCGTGTATCCCTGAGGGTAAAGTTCCACAGTCACACATGGGACAGCAGTGCAGGCATCACGCCTAGCAGTGAGACGCAGAGTTACGGCTCTGTCATGAACCCACTGAACTCAATGTATACATATCACACACTGGGTATACTTACTGTATAAGATTCGACTAATACTGTGGTTTCTAGAGCCAGTTTCTGCTCTTGTTCAATATTGTATCCTACATAACACAGCTTCTCTTTAATCATGCGAACTGTTTCAAAATCAGCAGAATGGTTGAAGGCATATCCTCGCAGCAAAAGCAGCTGGAACAAAAAATACTAGTTAAGTTCGTAATACATCTGAATGAGTTCTACTCTGCAAAAGCTATTAATGCTTATTAAACATGCCCTACCAATAGCAAATATAATGGGTAGCGTATTTTCAGCTCCTACTGAATATTTCAGAAGTGGGGATTTTACTTGCTATAAAAGGATTTGTATTTCAGTTTTACTGATTAAGAGAATTACCAGTTCATGAATAATAACCGTGGAAAACCTACAAAAAGAGCCAGTTTGTACAAGAGTATGGTTCGTACACTAATGTTCAGACAGTACTGATGAGTAGCACACTAATGAATACTATGTTAGCCCCAGACATTGTAGCCTGCCATTTGCACATTCAATCAATGCCCTATCTATGAAACACCCACAGGTCCTACAAAGTCGTATCTCTGGCTTCTGCTACAGTGTCTGGCACATAATGGGAAGGCAAAAAGGAATTTATTAAATAATTGAGTAAAGAAGTGTGGGATATAAGAAGGTATAGTCTCTAGTCTTTCTCTCTCTTTTTCTTCCTTCCTTTTTTTTGGTGCTGGGAATCAAACTCAGGACTTGCGCTTGCCAGGTAGGTACTGCATTGCTGAGCTGCATCTCTGGCCCTGTATTCTCACTTTTTGGGCCTGTCTCACCTGTGTTGTCTGGGCTGGTCTTGAACTTCCAGGCTCAATGGATCCTCCTGCCTCAGCCTTCTGAGGTAGCAGGAACCATGAGTACATGCTACCATGACCCACACTTTCATTTCTTAAATGACAGAAAATAGCGTAATTATCACCATGTACATAACTGGGCCTTTTGTTAGGAAAAAGAAGAGAAATCTCCTAATGTTTGTGCCCTCTGCAGACACAGAACTTTGGCCTAGAATGGGAGCACTGTACTGTAATTCTCTTTATCTCCCTACACAATGAGATTTATCCTAAACGAGACTAAGAAACCCTGAGTGCAGGTGAAGACCTAGCATCTCTCAGCAGCTGCAATAAAGGATTCTCGCGTGCATCCCGAAACCTGCAAGTTTCCCCACCATCTTCCCCTCACTCACCTTGATGAGATACCTGGTGATATCCCGGCCAGCGATATCCAGTCTCCTGGTCAGATGAGGGAGAGAAAAGCCTTCGTACACCGGGCAGATGTGAGTCACGCCGTCTCCAGAGTCCACCACCACCCCCGTCAGCAGACCTACACGAAGAAGCCAATCAGAGAAACCAAAGCTGGTGCGTTTCCAACACACTGTCAGAGCCAACCCAGAACACTTATCTTCTTCTTAGGTACTCATTTTGCAGTCTGTGTCTAACGCACGCACAGATGAAGTCTACTCCACGGACAGCACAGTGCTCAAAGGCGTCACCTGTGAGACGTGGGCTGAGCACGTGCTTCCAGGGAGATGAAAGAAAACGGCCACTGAGCCCTCGGGCTGAAACCTGCACAGGTCTTCTTCTTTTTTATTTTGCTTTCCAATTTAAATTTGATCACTAAATTCCTTTACAGTGATGTTTTCTAAATTCCACAGATAACTTTTACAAAAACTGGAAAATATTACAGCTATGTTGATAAATCTATTCAAATTATTGAGTTCTTTCTTTCTTTTTTAGGTGTTTTTTTTTTCTGTACCGGAGGTCAAACTCACAACCTGATGCTTGCCAAGCAGGCACTTACACCACTGAGTGAGATCCTTGGCTGAGTTCTTGATTTCTGTCTCATAGTGTATTAAAACTTTGTGCTGTTTTGGAAAAATGTCTACTGTTACTAGACAGATAAAAACTAGGCAACGATTAACGTAGCCTAAACCAAGCATCATTTCAATTATTCACCCAAAACCAGAAACACCACATCAGTTAACCTCTACAACTGGGTATACTGTTGCACACCAGTAACCTCATTACTTGGGAGACTGAGGCAGGAGGACTGCCATGAGTCCAAAGCCAGCTCGGCCTGCACAGTGAGATGAAGGCCAGCCTGAGCTGCACAGTGACCCTCTGTTTCAAAAAACAAACAATGAAAGTAAGAAAACCCACACAAACTCTACAACAAAAAACAGCACAGAAGCTGTCTTGCTTACTGTGTGTGTGACTGAAACAGTGGCAATGGCTGCAGCAAAAAGTCATCGCTGCACTTCTGTGCATCAGGGTTAATGGGGAAAAAATGAACTTTTTCTAATATATTTTTTTTTCCTTGTGGTTTTGTCATTATCTATTTTTTTTCCACCAAAACCTTGAACTCAAATATCTAATATATTTTTAATAGAAAAAAATGTAACTGGAGTATCATCTACAGCATCATCTATATTTTTCACTGTTTTCTCAACCCTGAACAGGTGTTCTCCTTTTTCTTTCTTTTTTTTGAACCAGAAATCAAACTCGGAGCCTTGTGCCTGCCACACAGGTGCTTGTGCCACTGAGCTGTATTTCTAGCTGTCTTTCTTATTCATAAAAACTTACACACGTTTTCACTGATTGGGGGGGTACCAAGAATCAGACTCACAACCAAGCACTGTGCCACTGAGCTATATCCCCGGCTCTTATGTATCTTTTAGTATCTAGTATCTTTAAAAATTTATTCAGACCTCTATTTTAAACTGATATAATTTCTCATCTCCACTGCAATAAAAATGAGGAATCTGTATTACAATTATTTAAAAAGATTCCCAGTCTCACCAACTAAAGCAAGGATTTACATATTCCATTTCCCAAACACCTCTTCTTCCCCAACGCCCCTTACTTTTCTCCCTCTCCCACCAGGCCTTTAAAGCTGTCCTTTCTCTGAACACACCTGAGTCACCTCCAGGGCATACCCCTGTCACTGTATTTCCCTTTCCTTCCACTTTTATCCTACTGATTTTTAGGGGGCTTAATGGAATTCTTTTTCATTTCTAATTTCTCTAACCACAATAACCTCTGGCCCAACTTCCCCAATTCCACTTATTCCCTCTTCAATTCTGTCAGTAGGCATGGTGGCACACATCAGTACTCCCAGCACTTGGGAGGCTGAGGCAGGGCGATCACTGTGAGACTGAGGCCAGCCTGGGCTACATAGTGACTTCAAGGACAGTCTGAACTACAGAGCAAGAGCCTGCCTCAAAATAAATAAATAAATACTTTAAAAAATTTTAAATATGTACTTTTCCTATGTGTTATGTATAAAATAAATTCTGAAGCCAGGCATGGTGGCCACACATCAAATTTCAGTTACTTGGGAGGCTGAGGAAGGAAGATCCTAGCACTCAGGTGGCTGAATCAGGCGGTTCACTGTGAGTTCAAGGTGAGCCTGTATTATAAAGCAAGACACTGTCTCAAAAAAATCAAAAAGTGACTCCTGTTTCTTTTACCAAATAAGAAACTAATGAATTTACCTTACAAAGTCTAATAAAGCAAGTAAAAATGTGCATGATATATGACAAATGAAATTCTGAAAATATTGCAAAGTGTGGTATATAAATACTGTGCTTGGGGCCAGGTGTGTGTGTGGGGGGGTGCAGGCCTGTAATTCCAGCACTGAGGAGGCTGAGGCAGGAATGCTACAAGTTTGAGGCCAGCCTGTGCTATCCAGGGAGTTAAAGGCCATCCTGGACTACATAGCAAGACTCTATCAAAAACTACATAAACATATACAAATACATACATACTGTGCTTTCCTGGGATTTGCAAAAAACAAACAAAGATAAAAACTGAAAAGAAATAAAAAATCATCACATTTCTCTGGCATAAAATATACTTAATTTTTGAAATAGTTAAGCTGCACCCACCTTGAGCATATAAAGTCAGAACTGCCTGGATGGCTACATACACACCAGAGAACTGGTAAGTTTCAAACATTACCTGAAAATTCAGAGAAAGAAAAGAAATGGCATTTAGAAAGTTACATGATTCAAACTTATATGCTTCCTTCAATCTCAGAGTGGATTCACTGAGTAAAATAGAATCAGAGACCTACAATCACCCTCCATTCTAATTAACACCTCTTCTACAAAAACCTGCTTTCACAGAGATCTAACTCTGAAAGCCCGTTTTTGGGCACATTTCAGCCTCCAAGCATTTATGAGTGCTACCAAGCAAAGATTTTCCTCCCTCCCTTCCTCTTTTCTTCTTTTTTGGGGAGGCAGGGGCTAGGTGTTGAGTCCAGGGCCCCCACAATGCTCTTGCCTCAGCATCCCAGAATGCTGGAATCACAGGCATGTGCCATCATGTCGGGCTAATTGCCTAGCAAAAACGAAGTGTAGCTAGGCGCAGCGGCTGACTGCAAGTTAGAAGCCAACCTGGTGAACTTAGCGCGTCTCTGGGTAGGTAGCTTAGCTGTAAGTGGGGCGTGGTTTCAATCCCCAGTACAGCAAACAATACAAAACCTGCACTGACTGCCTGACCACTGAGCCCTCACTTCTCTCCCTCAACCAGGACTACGAGTAGGGCTCGATTGCCGCTACTTAAAAACACCAACGAATACTAAAAGATGCAGAGGTGGGGATGTGGCTAGTGATAGAGTGCTTGCCTGAAGTCTGAGAGATTTAATTCCCAGCACTACCCGCCCCCCAAAAAAACAAAACCAGAAAAAGAGACAGAGAGTCAGAGAAGGTACAGACAAAGATCAAAGCAGTTCAGAAGTTGGCAGATACAACAATCCTTAGCTTCCGAGTCCCACCCGCCTGCCAAGCCTGATCCCACAGAGCTCCCACCAAGGGGAGGGTCCTGGTACACTCACAGGTACACATCTCCATCCACCCTCTATGCTTGGCTGGGCGGGGACATCCTGCATAGCCCTGCATAGCCCTGACTGGTAGGGCTGCCTGTCACTTCAAATATCCAGATATATACATTTTTTATTATTGATTGATTACAAGAATCATACAGAATTTAGATTTTATAATTCTGAAATACAGATCTGTCAATCAACAACTAGCATTCAACTAATATTTTATCCAATTATCATTAATAAATTCCCCCTTACGGGGTAAAACTACTATATATGCATTAGCTTGAGAAGTCTGTTACAATTTTTATTTCCTTTTTTTGGAGACAGAATCTGCTCAGACTGGCCTTGAACTTACTATGCAGGCTTAAACTTGCAGTGATCCTCATCCTTCAGCCTCCCATATGCTGGATTACAGGACACACACCACTGTTCCTGGCTAAATCTGTTAGAATTTCATTTTATTTGTAAGACCACTCATTAAAGTACTTGTACTACGAAAATAACTTTCTGATGACATTAAAGTAGGAAATTGTTGTTGGCGAATTTGTACTCACAAGCAAATAAGTATTAAAATATGAACCATAAGCAATTATATTGATTCTATAACTAAAAGCATGACTTCAAAATTCCCAAAAGCTTAATACAAAAATTAAATTTCAGCAGGGTGCAGTGGCATGCACCTGTAGGCCAAGAAACTAGGGAGGTTAAAGCAGAAAGATTACTTCAGCCCAGGAGTTCAAAGTCAGCCTGGGCAACATAGTGAGAACCAGTCACCCCCCCAAAAAAAACCCCTAAATTTCAACTCAGACTTTAAAAATATTGTCTAGGAGCTGGGGATTTAGCTCAGTGGCACAAGTGCCTGCCTGGCTAAGGTCATGAGTTCCATCCCCAGTACCAAAAATAAAAATACAAAATAAATAAATAAATAAAAATATCATCTATTTTAATCCTTGGTACCAAAATAAAAGAGTCTAACACCGTTTCCCCTCACTTTTTGTAAATTCCATCAACATCTAAAAATATTGATATAAAAAATTTATATGCAAATTAATTAGAAAGCTGAAGATCCAAACTTTCTACCTTATCCCACACATCACACAGGCAAGCCCTGAGAATCACCTAAACTCTAAGGAGCGCAGTCTCTGGCTCTCTGCTTCCTCTGTAGCCACTGCCTTCATCAGGCTTCGCGACATCCCCCTGCTGTTCCTGAGCTCTTTGCAGTCCTCTGCCTCTTCAGCCCTGTCTACTCTCACATTTCTGGTGAACAGTACCATCATCTATGTCCTGAAGACTCAAGTTTCTATCTCCAACCTCATATTTTTTTCCTGATCTTGATCTTACATACTACCATACAGCTGATGTTGCTCTTTTTTCTTTTCGGGTGTCTCGCTATGTAGTCCAGGCTGGCCTTTAACATGCTATGTGGCCCATGTTGGCCTTGAACTCATGATCCTCCTGCCTCAGCTTCTCAAGCGCTAGAATTAAAAGGCATGCATGACTTTGTGACATTTATATAGACTTCACTGACTGAGAATCCCTAATCTAAAGATGCAAAATCTAAAATGCTCCAGAATCTAAAACTTGCCAATGCTCAAAATGTTTCAGGATTCAAATTACAGATGCTCAATCTCTAGCAAATGCAAAATAATTTATTTTTTATTTCCTTAATTTAAATTTATTTTTTATTTCCTTAATCCATAGCCAACAAAAATAAGAAAAACAAAGTTTTGATTTAACATAACATAGACACAACAGAGACAAACATATACGTACCTTCTCTTAAAACTCACCTCTACAATCTTCTCTCTGTTCTTGGTTGGGTTCATAGGAGGTTCTGTAAGTAAAATTTTGCAATTTCTGGTATCTATGTTGAGTTTCTCTGGGCCAAACGTATAGTCCCACAGGTGTTTCATGTCATCCCAATTTCGCACTATGCCATTTTCCATGGGATAGTTCACTTCTAACATGGAGCGCAATTCACTGGCCTCGTCACCAACCATGAGATCCTAGAAAATTACAATACCAAAGCTTTAGACTAGTCAAATCTCACACAAAGGAGTTTCAAAAAATCATATTCTCATGGATTCAGAAAATTTGGGAGCAATTAATTTTAATCCTTCTGGTACTTTTACATAAAAGCTTTTTATTCTACAACATAAAAAATCTTTTCTTGCAAAAAAAAGTCTTAGGAAGTTTAATCATAGAAAATGAATTTTTATGTACTATGTAGTTTAAATCAATAAATTGACCTTACCTTTAATACATATGTTTCCAAAAGAAGAGCAATAGCACAAGTAAACCCCATATTTTCATATTTTGGAAGTTTTTTTTAATGAGGTTTCATCTATTTCTTTTGCTCAAATGTTCAAAAAAATAAGTCCTGTGATATGTGAAATAGTACATCAGAGGAAAAACTTGTAGAAAAATGCTTGATGTATCCATATATTTCTTTGAACTAAATATTAAAATGATAAATGTAAGTACTACAAAACAATAAAAGCAGCAAAAAAGCAAATGACTTTTTATTACTCTACAATAATACATTTACGTACCAATTAACATAAATTTCAGACTTTTACCCACATGTCTGAACTAAAGTTAAATTTCTACATATAAGGGATGATCAAAAATATTGGAATGTTTAAATTTTAAAACATTACAGTAAAAAGACACTTTGCCAGGAACAATGGGAGGAGTATATTTAAATCATGTGGGAATATTTTGAGAGGAATTAATAGCAATATGTCTTTTACCATAATTTTTAAAAAAGTAAATATGCATTGCATTTTTTGATAAATTGTATGCATCATCAAGCTGAATGAAAATTTGGAGTGATATAAAGAAGTTAGAATAAGGAAACAACTCATTTTCTGGAATTATAGTACAGGCAAAGTTTTCAATCTTAAAGTATAATACTGGAAATCTATACTCCCACATGGAAGCATAATACTCTTTACCTCCAATGAGATCATGTTTAAGATGACCCACATTTGTAAAATCAAGTTTTGTATGTAAAAGATTAATGTTGTAGAATTTTAAAATTATTTTAGAAATCAGCCAAGACATTAAATAAGATTAACTTCTTTATGTGTGACAAACTCTATTTTTAATTTTTTTTTTTTTTTTTTTGTGGTGCTGGTGATCAAATCCAGGGCCTTATGAATGCAAGGCAAGAATTCTACCACTGAGCCACTCCTCAGCCTTGAATTTTTAAAATATCATAAGTAGATAGATATTATGTGTTATAGTATCAAGTCGAAAATAAAGAAGAAAATTAACATGAGATGACTTCATGACTTCAAATGAAGGTTTGAAAAATATATGAGTTTTAAACTTAAAAAAAAAATCCGATAAAACTAGGAGGAAGTCTCATTGAAAAACAGATTTCTGAAAAATACACCAAAAGCAGTATCACAAGGGAAAATAAAGTGAAAACAAAAATTAGAAATGTTCATTAAAACTTTCTGCTACAATGAACTTTTTATAAAGTTTATTTTTCCATAACTTAATACCCAACTTTTTCTTAACTTCTAACTACTTAGAAGATTTAGGAAAAGAGAACTAAAATCTAAGTCTGTGAAGGCATGCGTATGTTGGACTATTTAGGGAGAAGTATCCTGGTACTTTGAAATACTGTACATTAAAAAACAAACAAACAAATAAAAACCCAAGATGATTTCATGGGATGACAGGCAGTATGTGATAATCAGTATTGTATATTAATGTCAGAACTATGTGATAGGTATATATTTTTAAATACTGCTTAACAAAATATTAAGGGAAAAATCTATACAATTTTTGGTTATTAACAAATTTAATTTAATACACTATTGTGTGACCTTTCCCTACAATGAGTATCTTTTTTTGTGTTCTACAAGGTAATTGATTGATTTATAAAACTAGTTTATTTAAACCAGTTTAAAATAAATCTAACCTTATTTCAACAGAATAGTTTTTATCTCATGCAAGAAAACAAGCGTACAAATATCTGATCCAATGCCAACTCAAAATAAAAAGCCCCACGGTGGTACTCAAGGATTAATGCAAAGAGCACCTGGCTTTGAGTATTCTTAGCTCCCTCCACACAGAAAGGACATCTAAAATGGAAGAAGTTCCAACTTATTTGAAAAGTGCAAAAGTGTAGCTAAAATATTTTTAGTTTAAAAATACAAAATTCTCTGTAATTCTAGAACAACATTCCCTAGAGCCCTTCAATTTTCAAAGTACAAGATACTCAGAATGCTTTGTAACTGTCCTCATCCCTCAGAACCAAGTTACAAATGATGAGATCCAGCCTCCAAGTCTTTGTTATCTACTCCACTGTTGGACTTCCACCTATTAGTTGAAAGAATGAAAAATCATCTCTTAATTGAAAAAAAATGGAGCAGGAGGACCATTCCAAGTTTGAGACCAGCCCTGGAAAGAGAGCTCAAGGCCAGCCCGAATTACATAGAGAAATCCTGACTCAAAAAGACAAAAAAAAAAAAAGCATAAATATAAAACTCCCAGAAAACCACAGGAACCATCTGAGACACTGTCAGGCATTTATGTTGTAGTAAAGCAGGCAGCAGAACCACTTTGAACAATGTCACTTCAAATTAGAAAGTCACTTCAAATTTAAAACCACAATTACATCCCTAAAAAGCAATTCTCTTTAACAAACAAACAAACAAAAAACCGTTAAGACTGCACTGTTCTTTGTAATTACAAACTTTTAAAAATTTCTTCATGGTTTTAAGACAAATTAATGATCATTCCTATAAGAAAAATACATAAATTTATCTAGATACTTTTGTTTGTTCAAAATAAAATTTCACAAAATGGCATTACTAGTTAAAATAGATCATATCTTTAGAAACGCCTAATTTTTATTTGTGTCAAATTGCTTACAAATGCTTTTAAGCAAACTTAAAAATATCCATTATAGACACACTTAAAGACGATCAGAGAAAAACATAATGAAAGAATCAAATATCTGGCATAGGTCTGTCTAGTTGACAAGAAAAAGGCACCTCACAATGGTATTCATTTTGGGGGAAATTTCTATTGTTTGTGGGAAAGCCTTACAGGTGATTTACCTTTTTCTTATTTATCTTCAGAAAATATTTTCCAGTCTACTCACTGGTAAGAATGATACAGAAACAAGTCATTCTTTTCTTTTTTCCCATTTATGGTTCATCTGTATATTAAAATTTACTTCATTTAATAACTGTATATATGATTCCAAAATGGATGCAAACATATACATAAAGCATGACAGGCAATGTTTAATTCAGCATTATAAATAAAGTCAATTTATCTAAACATAACACCTTCACTCCAATTTTTCTGGATCACACATTTATATAAGGCTACTTGGTTTTTAATATTATGCACACCACATTCCATTTTAATTATAACATTCATCTACAGGAAAAACAAGGAAAGCAATTCAAAACTATGTTAGTAATTAGTTCTTATTTGGTCCATTGTATGCAATCAGGAAAGTATAAGACTTAATTAGTTGCTACCAAATAGAAGCAATGAAAAAGGTTAAAAATTAAAGTACTTAAAGTAAAAATATGGAATTGCCCCCCTCCCCAATACTAAAGGGACACAAAACAACAACTACTGTCCCACCAAGCAAAAGTGGAAAACAAACAGAGAGCACGTGTGTAACCTCACTTACCATCTTTTTGTTATTCTACTTCAACGGTCAAGAAAGGTGAAGAAAGAGAAGGTAGAAGTAAGAGTCAGAAAAGGCCTAAATAAGTCCTCACTGAAATGTTTAAACATACAAGCAACAGAGACAAATTAGGTAGAGGTCAGAGGTAGTACTACTGTATTTTATGGAGTTAATAATTAGGGCCAATTAACACGGACAGTTATTAACCCTGTATGAAAAGTAACCAAATACATGATTTAAATTTCCATAGTTTTAGTCTACCATCGCATTTTAGCTAACAAGACACACAAATACAAGTCAATCCACTAAGCACAGAAATTCCCAAAACTCAAGTTTTTTAATTCATTACTGAATTTCAGAACTTTAAGAAAAATAGTAACAGTGAAAGTCTGAGTGGGCAGAGTTAGTTCAGCATTGTTTGTCCAAGCACTAGCACTCAAGTTAAAACCGGCAGGGGTCTCTTTTACTGTCTTCTACTGGGAAAACATTAACTTGAAAGACTTAAAAGCCTGAGCACAGTGAAAAGAACTGAGCTAATAGAACACAGAATGACAAAACGAATCAGCAATACTATCAGGGAATTCTTTAGCAAAAATACCTTATTAGAATACCAATAGGTTTATAACAGCACTTGGTCTTAAAATGCAACAAAGTGGGCATAAAGAGATGTATAATTATTTGTGTCCATGCTGCAGAAGAAAAATGGCTCTGCAAGGTATACCTTTATAACTCAAAATACTTTTTCGTCCATGAAGGGTATAAAAAAAGCTAGATACTAAGTAAAAAATATTACTCCCAAACAATAATGTGCCCTTAGCTCTATTATTAGCTAAATTTCAAGTTGAAATTCACTTAAGATAGAATTAATTAGAATGCAAGGTATTCACAAAAAGTATAAAGAATTCCATAAATGTTCCAAAAGAAAAGCTCCTTCAGTTTGAAAAGACTTATACTGAATGTACCATTTTTGCTTTCATAACTTAAAGAAGCCAGAATTCACTACTTCCCTTTTTTTAAAATTAAGAACCTGAGTTTCAGTTGGTATTTTTGTTTATAGTGCATTCAATTCTCCAGTCTCAACAGCAGAGACCTGAGAGTAAACCTCTCCCATCTATTACTATCACTTTCCTCGGTATCTCAAGTGAATGTCCCAAAGAGGCACAAAATGAGTAATTCTTTATCCAACAGTTCACTGAAGTCTTGTCACAGACTCTCCAGATAGAACCCACAACGCTAGCTTGTTCACAAAGAATTCACTGAGAGTTTCCTCCATTCTATCGCTCTCTCTATAATTTGATCTGAAGGCCACCTGAAGAATTTAAACTCAACTAACTGGTGACCACTGTTCTTTTATTTTAAAATCACTCCCAACAGATTTCCAATCCAGTCAAAGAAAAATCTATCATCCATAATGCAGTTTTCACAGCAGGCACTGATGTGAAACTCTCCTGCCTCTCTCCTAAGATAAGTACCGCAAGGCCAAAGAAAGATTCGCACAGCTTGCTTCAGCACATTATGGAAATCAGCTATTACATCAGTGCGAAGAGGAACCAGCGAAATTTACATTCTGTGCTTTCCTGACTAGCTGCATAAAAAAGTAGGGGGCCAGGCCATGAAAACATGGGGGAAATACATCTCAGGTCCCAAAGCAGCACTAAGATATCATGACAAAAATATCAACATGAGAGCGTAAAATTACCAGACTGATTTCTTCTACAAATCAAAATATGTAATGGGACTTTAAGTACTAATTCAGTGTTTTGTATCAATTCAACGTAAAAAAATTACACTTCAAGTAGTAATGGCATTAAGAAATACATAAACAAAATTAAATGATACTAATTTTAATTTCTTCACCTTTGTTCAGGTGCTAATATAAATTAAAAAGGAGAGCTTCTACCCTCCCCCTTTTGCTTTTCATGGCATCATACTTTAAAACTACTTAATTCAAAGAACATTTTCACACATTCTAATAGTCATTTTAACGATACATAAAATATTACCTTGATCTCAATGTTTCCCACTTTGGTGGTTGATCTGATAATAGGTCTGCCAACCAAAGCTGGGAAGATGTGTTCTGGAAAGTTAGAGCCTGCATATCCACACTTCACAAACTGGAAGGAAAGGTAAAAGTGGGTTAGTGTCAAAGCACTTACTACGTTTATTTAAAAGCAACATACAACAAACACCACTGTGCAGTGACGGAATATTTTAAACTTACAGCGCTTTCAAGCCACCCCAAGTAAATCTCAACTCTATTTTTGACATAATCTCCTTTTATTTCTTTCAAAGCACTAGCTCTGGAGATCATGGTGGTTTTTGTTTTGTTTTGTTTTGACCACTTAACTGCTTACTGGTGGTGCCCACATAACCCCTGTAAGGGGCAAGGCCCATGACAGAGGCGACAGAGCTGGCACCTCAGGCTGGAGCCTGATGTCTAAAAGAGGTCTGGATGCGCACGGTCATTCAAACTGTATGCAGGCTACAGGCAGGTTCACTCAGCCTGTGCTTAGCTGTGGTTGTTTTTAATGAACTTAGCATAACAACACATACCTGTAATCTCAAAACTCGGAGAGAATGAGGCAAGACAGTCACAAATTCAAGCCAGGCCTGCTCAACTTAGCAACTTACTGAAACCCTATCTCAAAAGAAAGACATACAAAAGGGCTGGGGATGTAGTTCAATATCAAGGCCCGGGGCTCCAGAACTGAGGGGAAAAGACTTAGGACATGAACAGTATTAAATCTTAACGCTAAAGTACGTTTCATGTTGTGAGCAGCTCATTTACTTAAACTCATTTTCCAAAATGGTAAAGTCAAATGGCATCCAGACTAGCATCACATGAAAATAGATTAGGTGTTTTGGGCTATTAATAGTTTTATAGTTAGATTTCATATTTATATAGTGTACATTTAAGAAAGGTACATCACTGATTGTAAAAATACTTCCATTTTATGTATGTAAAAAACAAAAACAAGGGCTGGGGATTTAGCTCAGCGGCATAAGCGCCTTCCTTACAAGTGTGCGGTCGTGAGTTCGATCCCTGGTACCGATAAAAATGAAAAAGATAAAACAAAAACCCTGGCATTCTATGAAATTTAACAACCACAGCAAAACTTTTATAGGAAACTAGGACTTAAAATTTCTGTATCAATAATACGCTTTAAGAGCAAAAAGGACAGCTACAAATTTTAGGGCGGGAGGAGGAAGCTGTATTAGTAAAGGAAATATAATTAAAGTCTCAACCTCTTTAACCATTTAGTGTTTACTGAAGACTCTCCAGTACCTAGAATGGTGTCTGGCACACGGAAGGTACAAATTCCACATGAAAAGTTTTGCTACTGACTTATTAAGAAAGGGTCTTGAGCACAGCACGTGTGTGTGTGTGTGTGTGTGTGTGTGTGTGTGTGTGTGTGTGTGTGTTGGCAGGGGTGTGGGGTGTCTCACAACCAATCTCCTGCTGGGCGTAGTGGCACACCCATGTAATCCCAGCATTTAGGGACCTGCCAAAAGTTTGAGGCCAGCCTAGGTTACATAGTAAGTTCAAGGCCAGTCTGAACTACACAGCAAGACCCTGTCTCAAAAATAAAATAAAATAAAATAAAATAAAATAAAACACATTAAAAAACCAAAACAGACCTCTTCAGACATTCAGTAATACCTATACATTCAACATAAGAAAAAGTACTGTTCCGTGAGTCCTGGCACAATAGAAGAATCAGACTGAAAACTACTGTCTGGATGAGGTGCAAAACATTAATAAACGAAAAGTGGACAGAAAATATTAATGGACCCCTGTACAGGAGCTACATGGACAAGGAACTGTTTTGTTTAATGCGGCAAAATTTAGCAGCATCTAAACCTCGGTGACTTTTTTTTGGTACCAGGGATTGAACTCACAACCTCATGCTTGCCAGGCAGGCACTTATGCCACTGAGCCAAATCCCTGGCTCAAACCTCAGTGACTTTTGATTAAGCCTCCAAAATACAAAAATCTTCACATATCTGTACAGCAAACCTTGTTAGAGATGATGCTGATGAACCACATTTAATTATAAATAGCACAGAACATTTTGCTACCCAGAATCTACTTGTCATTTGCAGACAAAGCTTTTTAAATGTTGTAATTATGATCTACACAACTCAAACTTTCATGAAAAATCTGCCAGAAATTTCATATTCCCAATGCCACTTTAATTCCTGTTCTTTTAGTTTAATTTTAGAATTTAAGTAAAACACACTATTCGGATGTTCTCTTCCATACTCCAAAAGCAAGTTTACCAAACTAGAAACACCAAAGCTAGGGCATTTTTCAGGTGCGGTTACCTATTCCTAAAAGTGTAATACGATATAGCTCCTACTGGCTTACTTCACAGTGCAGAAAACAGTGACGTGGTATGCGTGTAACAGACAACCTGCCTGCTCCTATCTGCCTCCTCGTAGGATTGTGGCTGATAGTAAAAATGAGAATATACTTCCCAACAAACAGATACTAAATAATTCAGGGCACTAGCTCATTTTTCCACAAATAATTAGTGTGACCTAGAAGGACCTGGAGGAACAGTTGGCATGGAGGAAATAATGAAAACCTGCTCACTTGATACGAACTGAAATGATGTGGAAGGAGAGAAAAAAGTGGTCTCTTCCCTACCCCAACCTTACCCGATGGCAGTATACATAAAACTTGTCATCATCACTAGCCTAATGTCAGTAAGAATTTATGCATATACCCCAAAAATATAGATGGGAAATATTTTTTGAATACTAATTTCTTTTTTGTGTGCAGCCTGAACCCAGGGTCTTGTACAAGGCATGCAAGTGCTGTACTACTGAGCTACAGCTCCAGTCCTTTCCAATTTTTGGTTTGAGACAGTCTTGCTGGGTTGCCCAGGCTGGCCTCACATTCACAATCCTCCTACCTCAGTTTCCCAGGCAGCTGAGATTACAGGCATGCACCACACCTGGCTAGAACACTAGACTTGTTTATTCTCAAAGTAGTGAACAAATATGGACACAGGGAGGGGTAAAAGTACTCATTCATCGGACTGAAAACACTCACTGACTTAGATATAAATGTTCTCAAAAGTAATCAGAGAATGACTAAAGAGAATCTACACATTTATAAGGGCCATTTTCTGTGTATTAACTGTAAATACATGATTTTATTAAATGAGAAATCATAAGGAAGTTGAATGGAGAAGGAGCAACATGGAATGGAATATGTAAGTCAAACCCAGGTGCATGGAGGGGGCTGCTAAAGGTTGAAAAATCTCCCCTCTCACTGGGAGCCATTTGAACACAGTGGAACCATAACATGGCAAACTGGTAAACAGTCACAGTAGTGTTTCTGATTACTGTGCAACTGTTCAGACATGTAGCCCATATTTTAAAATTCTACAGTATATTTAAGCAGCAAACACTTGTTGATAACTTAGAAGGCAAAAATTAAAAATTGATACTACAGAAACAACTGTAAATCTAGTAGCTGCTTCACCAAAAAAAAAAAAAAAAAAAAAAAAAAAAAAAGAAGCCAGGCTTGGCGGCGCACACCTGTAATCCCAGCACTCGGGAGGCTGAGGCAGGGGATCCTTTCAAATTCCACATCAGCCTGGCCTACAAAGCAAGCCCAAGGCTACCCTGAACTGCATAGTGAGACTCTGTCTCAAAAAGACAATAGAAAAAAAAAAAAAAAAAGGAAAAAAATTTTTGGTTTTCAAATTAAAAATATCAGTCGGCCTAAGCACCTGCCTGGCAAGAATGAGGTCGAGGGGCTGGAGATTTAGCTCAATGGCATAAGCACCTGCCTTGCAAGCAGGCGGTCGTGAGTTCGATCCCCCGTACCGATAAAAGGGAAAAAGACAAAAAAAAAAAAAAAAAAAATGAGGTCGTGAGTTCCATCTCTGGTACCAAAAACAACAAAAAAATTTTTTAAACACAAAGATATCAATCACTTACTAATAAATGATTTACTCTACCCCTCCCTAAATAATAACTTATCAGAAGCAAACACTTAGAATTCAGGGCTAGCATTCCTACAAGGTATTAGATATTCTACCAAAATAGCAGAAACTTCACTACTAAACGTATTTTCAAACATAAATGCAGTTATAAAGATATAAATATTCCATTTTTCAGTAATATAAATCAATGTACAACCTATTTCTCCCAAAAAAACCCTGCATTAAAAAACTGAAATCATGATGTGAAAAAATACAAAAACCCCACTATTTTCTAGATTGTTCACTTCGTATGATTTTCATCTTTATACTTCCTCCCTCAAGCCAATCATTGTAAGACTTGGTAACTTGGTTCTCTCACTGTATGCAGTAGGCTGTGTTTAAGAAATAGATGTTACCATATATAGTTTCCTCCTCATAGCATGTGGTTTAAACCGCCTCTCTTCCTTCCCACTGAGTCATCAAGTGGTAGGAGCATGAGCAGTATGATCCTCCAAGCAAAAATGAAGAAACATCCATATCTGCTCTAAAAGTATATTTCCCCCCCCCCCCGGGGGGAGGCCTGATTACAAAGCTCTGTGTGAATTTATTTACTTTGTATTCTTCTGTTACTAATTTTATCTGATGGTATTAATATATTAACTTAAGTGCATAATAACTGTTATCTTTGTTTGGTTTTTTTGTTTTTTGAGATGGGGTCTCACTGTGTAGTTCAGGCTGGCCTGGAACTCAACATATAGTACAGACTGGCCTCAAACTCACCACAATCATCCTGCCTCAGCCTCCCAAGTGCTGGGATTACAGATACGTACCACTATGTCTGGCTGACTGTTCTTATCTTGAGTAACCAAAATTTTTATTTATTTCAAAGCAGTCTGCAGGGTGAATTCAAAGTTTATGGATTTTTTTTTTTTTTTTTTTGTCTTTTTCCTTTTTATCGGTACTGGGGATCGAACTCACGACTGCCTGCTTGCAAGGCCGGTGCTTATGCCGCTGAGCTAAATCCCCAGCCCCCAAAGTCTATGGTTTATCTCTATTTCAAACATTCCTAAAGTTCAAAATATAAATTAGCATAAGTCTACAAAGTAGGGCAAAATGAATAAAAATGTGAAATACGAATACAATTAGCTTCTCTGTATCACTAGGTCTCAAGTATTATGCCAATAACAGACACTCAAGAAGTCTTCATTTTTTGATGATAAACTCACTACTGATGAAATCACACAAATTTGGTAACAGAATACACAATGTAAAGGACATGGGTCAACTTGAAAGGGATCAAAACATAGAACTTTGAGATCTTCAGGAGTTTCCTTGGCTGGCCACTTTCAGTGGCTGTTTTAGAAAGTAGATTTGAGAAGCCCATAGTTTAGTAAAATCTGATAAACTATATTCTTGTAAATTGCCCTAAAGAAGTACCGGTCTACCTGGGAGATAAGGAGGAATGGAGCAGGACCAACATCCGACAAATGACCTAAAGAATGTATCTATTCTTACAGCGTTCAATTCTGGGCCTGTCAAGGGCTTTCTTGGGGGTGGGGGGGGGTATCTTTTTGAGACAGGGTCTTGCTATACAGTTCAGGCTGGCTTTGGGTTCACTTTGCAGCCCAGGCTGGTCTTGAACTTGCAACGATCCTCTTGACCCAGCCTCCCAAGCGCTGGAATTACAGGCATGCACACTGCGCCCCACTTCAAAGGGATTTTTTCAAAACATCAACTTTTCAGAGCTGCGGATGTAGTTCAATGGTAGATGAACTGGCATTGCATGCCTGAGGCCCTGGACTCAATCCACAGCATCACAAAATAACAATAGTCATCAACTTTTCAAACAGTCCAGAATTGGTTTCTTTTTTGTTGTTTTTGTTTTTTGAAGCAAGGTCTTGGTATATAATTCTGGCTGCACTTGAACTAACTATGTAGCCCAGAGGGGCTACAAACTCATGCTGCCTCAGCCTTCCAAGTGCTGGGATTACAGGTCCGGACACCAAGCCTAGTTCTTCAAGAGCCCATTATTTTAAAACCTAAAGCATTTAAGGGGCAAATGAAAACATTTTAATTAATTTCATTAATTTTAAAAATTAAATCTGAATATCATTTTATTCAATTGTAAAGAAATCACAATAATTTCACCTAAATAAAATCAAAATCAAAATAAAATCAGAAGCCGGGCATGCCTGTAATCCCAGCACTCAAGAGGCTGAGGCAGGAGGATCATTGTGAGTTCGAGACCAGCCTGGGCCTACAAAGTGAGCACAAGGCCAGCCTGAACTGCATAGCGAGACCCTGTCTCAAAAAGACAAAAATAAATAAAAATGACCATTAACATCTAGAAGTAGTAAGAAATAGAATATAGAACCTAAGTGATTCCTAGTCCTCTAAATTTTCAGAAATATTATAGCATTTCTGATTGCTATATATCTTGTCAGTAGTTTCTTTATTTGAAACCAACCATGTCTAATGGAAACTATGTATAAAATTTTTAGGCAAATATAAATGTAACACTAAATAATACCTTATTATCTGAATTAACTACCCCTTTAAATTCATTTCATAGCAAATGATCATTGTCCTAAGGAACAGGATTCTAAAGCAATAGATTATAAATAACATTAATAATACACATAGTCAGTTTTCTAATGTTAGCTACATCAATGAAGTAGTAATATAAAAATTTGCTTAGTTAACATTGCTACTCTAAATGAGAATCAAAAATCTCATGTAAACTGTGTGCATATCTATAATTCCAGCTACTTGGCAGGCTGAGGCAGCAGCATCAGATCCGTTAGTTCAAGACCAGCCGGGCAAGAATGAAAAATAAGGGGCTGACGATTTAGCTCAGCAGCATAAGTGCCTGCCTTGCAAGCAGGCAGGTTGTGAGTTGGATCCCCGGTACCGATAAAAAAAAAAAAAAAAAAAAGACCCTGTCTCAGAATAAAAAATAAAAGAGCTGGGCACCCTTTGTGTGTGATAGAGAACCTAAGAGTTCAATCTTAGCACCCTCCTCCAAAAAGACCAAAAAAAAAAAAAAAAAAAAAAAGACTTACAGCAGCTAGTGGCACAGCACACTTCACATACATGTGTTTAACACATCACCGAGGGCATCACTTAGAACCCTTCGAGAAGAATCTATTAAAGTATAACCGAGTACCTGGCATAATTATGAGACAAAATAATCTAAATTCAATTTTTATAGTTTCAAAATTTAGAAGTCAATTTAAGACTATAATGGAATCAAGATTATGTATTTTAAAAGCACCTTTAACTGGCCAGGTGTGGTGGCATATGCTTGTATTCCCAGCATTAAGAAGGCTGAGGCAAGAGGATCGCTGCAAGTTTGAGGTCAGCCTGAGCTACAACACTGGGGTCAAGACCAGCCTGCACTACACAATCTGGCCTTATCCCAAAGATAAACTTACTCATTTTAAAAATGGGATAGCTGGGGATACAGCTCAGTGACATAAGTGCCTACCTGGCAAGAGTAAGGTCCTAGCCGGGCGTGGTGGCTCATGCCTTGATCCCAGCACTCGGGAGGCTGAGGTGGGAGGATCCTTGCGAGTTCGAGACCAGCCTGGGCTACAAAGTGAGCTCAAGGCCAGCCTGAACTGCATAGTGAGACCCCATCTCAAAAAAAAAAAAGAGTAAGGTCCCGAGTTCAATTCCCAGCACACAAAAAAAGGGATAAACTTGAGTCATTTGTTGGTAAATGGATGCACCTTGAGATTATAAGTTTAAGTGACATAAATAAGACACATAAGCTTAAATATTTCATTGTTTCTCGTGTGTGAGAAACCCTAAGGGTAAAGAAGGAGCAAAATGGAGGACAGACACTGGGAAGTAGGAAACACAAATTCAAACGGGAAGGGGAACAAGGCGGGGGAGAGGGAAGGAAAGGAAGGGAAAGTGATAAAAAACAGAATGGAAGGAGAAAATGGAGCAAAGCTATGAATGGGAAGAGAAAGAAGGGTTGAGGGCAGGGGAGGGGAATGAGAAAAAAGAATCAATACATATTATGTATAGGTACAAATGCTCTGTGATGAATGTGAGCACTATATACAGCAAATATGTACTAACAAAAAATTTAAAAATAAATGGGATGATTTTCAGCTTTTAAAAAACATAAATCTGAGACGTTACAGAACTGAATCTATTACCTTTTAAAATGTATTTTGTACAGATATACTATTATATGGTAACACTTTCCTTATTCTGGTCCACTTTTTACTTAGTTCAGATGAAGACACTATTCATAACTATTGCTTGTAAAGTCTACAGAAAATTCAAGGGAGGGTATATGGCAATACGGCTCTCTCACCTCCTCTTCAAAACAATCCAGTTTCCAAAGCGTTATAAAATTCAAATAAAATCTATTTTAACTCATACATAATTATTTTATGGGAAAAGTCATAAAGTGTTGCAATATCAAAAAAAATGGTTAGAAATCATTATAGAACATACTCAAAATAAATAACATGTTTTACTTCCTAACTTTGCTGCCTAAAATACACTTTTTAAATGGGGAGGGGGTCTAGAAAAACACTTTCATGGCGTTTCTAAATCAGTGCTTTAGTTTCAGTTGCAAGTTTAGCACTTTTACAACTAAAAGTGGTATTCTACACAAACACAAACACACACACACACACACACACACACGCACACGCACAGAGCTAAGAGAGGAGGAACCAAAACTATAATTTCTCCCAAGGTTAGTGGAATTAACACTTGGGGCTGCTAGATTCCCAAAATCATCCCAGGGAACTCGCTAGTCTTTACAGGGTTGCATCTGGATCCAACTACCAACACGCAGAACACAAAGTAAATGATGCGCTGCAGACCTGGCCTCCTTCTCTCAAAAAGACAAGCAAAAGGAAAGCAAGAAACCTCCAAGAAGCGCTGCGAAAGGCTGAGGCCTCGGCAGGACAGCACTTCCCTTTTCTTCTGTAAACCCGTTTCCTGCCTCCCCTTGGGTTTCTTCAACGATACAGGAAGAGGAAGGCCTCCGGGTCTTTCTCCCTTCCACCCGGCGAATGTGGGAAACCGTGCCCTCCTAGGAATACGCACACCTAGCCTGTTACTCCAGCGAGCGCCCAGAACAAACCGCCCCGCCGGTGCAAGAAGCGGGCCCCTTCGGACAGCAGATGCGGAGAGTCCGCGTCCACTGCCGGTCTTGCCCGCGCCGTGATGCGGGCAGCTGCAGGGTTGGCTACCCCGAGGGAGACCCGCGCCCCACCCGGTCGCACCCCACGCGCCAGCGCCCCGCACCCGCCGAGGCGAGCGGTGCCGCCCCGCGCCCCCCTCACCCCGAGGGCCCAGATGTGCGGTCCCGGGCGCCTAGGGCCTGCGCGTCCCCAGCACATCTCCACCCCGGTTCCTGGTGCCGCGGCCTCCTTTCCAGGCCCTTACCCCGGTGCCGTTGTCGCACACCACCACCTTTCTGCCCTGGCTGTCCATGGTCCACCCCGGAAGAGCCGCTGCCGTCGCACAACCTACAACCGCCGCCGCCGCCGCCGCCCGGCCCTGGCCGCTTCCTCCTACTCCCTCTTCGCGGCCCCTCCTACAACCCAATTTTTTTTTTTCCTTTACCCGGAAGTTACCGCCCAGCCCCGCCCGTCATTTAGCCGAAGGCCAGGGCGGAAGGGGCGGGACAGAGCGGAGGAAGGAATGATTGGCGGCGATGAAGACCAATAAGAAATGGGTTCATAACTTCCGTCCCGGTGGCCCCGCCCCAGTGTTCTTAGTTGCTCCTGCTCAGCGCTGTATTTGGTCTTAATGGCGGCCGATGTCGATGTTGTGCGATGTGTGCTTCTTTCTCTAAAGCGTCGCAGGAGTTAAGGGTGCGGCTTCACAGACTGCGGAAGATTCAGGCAGGTGAAGGACACCGGGTCTGCCGCGAGGTGGCAGTGGAATGTGGTAGAGAAGCCATTCAGGCGGCCGTGGAACAAAACTGTTGGTGTGTCATTTATGTCATTGGTGTGTCTCAATGGATAGAGCTGGAATAGATGAACACAGTTTTTTGAAATTATGTGTGTATTCGATTCCTGCCTAGCTCTGCCCCAGCTGCCGTATGAGCCCTTTCAGTAGCCCCAATCTCTTCAAACGGCTTAAGTACTTGTACTTAACTCCGCTTGGAAATCAAACGACTCCAATTTTGGGGCTGGCCCAGCCAGTCAAAAGTTTTGTGAATGGGTATACCCTGGCCTTTCCGTGGGGATGATAATCTATACTTCCATGGATAGTTGCAGGGGTAACATTCTGTACACAGGACAAAAATTCATTCAACGCTAATTATTTAGTATTAATCTCATATTTTCTAGCCTGTGGTTCTCTTGATCCATAATACGTCCCTTTTAAAAAATATTTATTTTGGGCTGGGGATTTAGCTCAGCAGCATAAGCGCCTGACAGGCAAGCCCAAGGTCGTGAGCTCAATTCCCGGTACAAAGAAAAAAGAAAGAAAAATATTTATTTTGTGGTAGTGGGGATTGAACCCAGGGTGTTGTATATACTACACAAACATTTTTCACAGAGCTGTATCCCCTAACCCTTCCTATTTGATTTTTTTTGAGACAGGGTCTCCCTATGCAGTTCAGGCTGATCTTGAGCTCACTTTGTAGCCCAGGCTGGTCTTGAACTCTCAAGGATCCTCCTGCCTCAGCCTCCCGAATGCTAGGATTATTGGCATGAGCCACCATGCCCTGCTTTCCTATTTTATTTTGAGACAGAGTCTTGCTAAATTGTCTGGGCTTGACTGAACCTTATATCCTTCTGCCTTATCTGGAGGAGCAGAGTTTCCAGGGAGTGTGCCACTACATCTGGCTTCATTTTTTTTTTTTTCATTCTTTGTTAATTCTAGCTTTTTGAGCAGGATCTCACTATGTAGTTCAGATTGACCTTGAACTCTCTATGTAATACAGCCTGGCTTGAAATTTGCAGTGGTTCTCCACCTCAGCCTACAAAGTACTGAGATTACAGGTGTGTATCATTATGTCCAGCTGTGTTTTTTCTTTTAATCAGTTGGCAGACTTGTACTCATACTTGGAGATCCAGCTTGTCATACCTCTGAAGACTTTGCTGATCCCCTGAAGATGTTCTCTACCCTTGCTATTCCTTTACCATGAATATATAAAAAGCATTATGGTGCTTATTATACTCAACAAATGTTTACTGGATGAATGACATTCACATTTTAAAAGTGTGGTTATTTTTGAAAGTAGATAACATGTGCCTTCCACATGGCTGTACATACAGTACAATTAAAATAAAATTTGAATCATGAACCATCAACTCATTATTCTTTCTATAGTACTAACAGTCTCTCAACTCTTTATCTTTTAAGGTCTAATGGGATACAGTGCTCTACTGAAATTTAATCTTACATGGAAGAACCAGGCCAGTAGTGCACAACAATAATCCCAGCATCCAGGAGGCTGAAGCAGGAGGGTCACCATGAATTTGAACTTGTGACCTCATGCATGCCAGGCAGGCACTTTGCCACTGAGCTAAATCCCCAGCCTCAACCCCCACATTTTTGTTTTGTGCCTTTTTGAGACAGGGTCTCACTGTGTATTTCAGGCTGGTCTTGAACTGACCTGTGTAGCCCAGGCTGGCCTCGAACTCCTGACAGTCCTCTTGTCTCAGCCTCCCAAGTGCTGTGATTACAGGTGTGTGCCATCATGCCTGGCTGGTAACCCAACATTTTAGGCAATTGTATATTTGGTTGGAGGAAACTTCATTTTACTTTTTTTGGCACTGGGGGTTGGAGGGATGGACAGGATCTCACTATGTGGCCCAGCCTGGCCTCAAACTCATGATCCTCTGGTCTCAGCCTCCCAAATGGTAGGATTATAAACGTGAGCACCATGCTGCCTGGAAACTTAATTTCTAGTCTTCTGTTAAGACTTTATGTGTATTATCCTACACAAAAACCTTGCTGGGTAGATACCCCCATTTTGTACTTGGAGATGTTAAATAATTAACATGAGAGCTTTAAAAATTTGACTTAAGGCTCTTACTATAAGTGACCAAAGGTGACCTATGAAAATGATTCACTACTTTCTTGACTCAGAGAACTCCACAAAATCATGCAAATCAAGAGGCTCAAATCTTCCTGTTCACTTTAAGAACACCTGTGAAACTGCCCAGCCCATCAAGGGTATGCATATCTAAAAGGCCATCAGACATCTGAGGGATGTCACATTAAAGAAGCAATGTGTGCCATTCCAGCGTTACAGTGGTGGAGTTGGTATGTGAGCACAGGCCAAACAGTGGAGCTGGATGCAAGGTTAGTGGCCCAAAAAGAGTGCTGAAGTTTTGCTGCACATGCTTAAAAATGCAGAGTGTAATGCTGAACTGAAGGGTTTAAGCGTAGATTCATTGAACACATCCAGGTGAAAAAAACTCCCATGATGCACTGCTGTACTTACAGAGCTCCTGGCCACAATCACCCATATGAGTTCCCCCTGCCACGCTGAGATGACCCTGACTGAAAAGGAACAAACCATTCCTAACCCACAGGAGGAAGCTGCACAGAAGAAAAGATATCCCAGAGAAACTGAAGAAACAAAAACTTACAGCATGGGAACAGGATGAGCATAAAATAAATGCAAATAAAAGAAAAAAATCTAGGCTTAGAGTATAGCTCAGTGGTAGAGCACTTGCTTAGTATGTGCCAGGCCATGGGTTCCCACACACACAAATAACATTTAACAATTTAAGACAAACTACCTAACTTAAAAGTGTGTGAGGGCCAGGAATATAGCTCAGCAGCACAGTGCCTGTGTGGCAAGTGTGAGGTCATGAGTTCCACCCCTGGTGCAAATAAATAAACAAAAGAGCCTAAACTGGGCCTGGTGGTGTATGCCTGTAATCCCAGACCTAGGAAGGCTGGGGCAGGAAGATCACTGTGAATTCAAGGCTAGCATGGGCTATATAAGTTGAGTTCAACTTACAGATTTATGGACTACATAGCAAGACTCTCAAAAAAAAAAAAAGTGAAAACATGAGTAGATGTTTTATCAAGGTAGATTTATGAATGCCTCATAAGCACATGAAAAAAGTATTCAACATCTTATTAAGGAAGTGTGAGTGAAAACAGTAAGATACCACCTCACATTTGCTAGACTAATTGTAATCAAGAAGACAGGAAATAGAATTAGTGTTGGGACTGATGTAGAAAAACTGGAACCCTCATGTGTTTCTGGTGAGTATTTAAAAGGGTACAGCCACAGCTTGAGAGTTTTTCCAAAAATGAAGCATGAGGTTACTATGTAACCTCATAGTTCTAAATATGTACTCAGAAGTTTCACAGAATTGTATACAAATGTTTATAGCTAGATTACTCATAATAGGTAAAAAGTGGAAATAATACAAATGTCCATCAATATGAATGAGCAAACAATTTCTGGTATGGTATATCCATACAACAAAATGTTACCTACCAATAAAAATGGACTGATACTTGTCAGGTGTACACCAGCACACGTGTAATCCCAGCACTTAGGAGGCTGAGGCAGGAGGATCACCAAGAGTTTGAGGGCCATCTGGGCCACATATGAGAACATGTCACAAAAAACAAGAAGAAACAACAACAGCAAAAAAAAACAAAACAAAAAAAAACATGGTGTGATATGACAAACCTTAAACAACATTCTATTAGATACCGAAAGGCTATAAAGCTATTAAGCTTTAAAGCTATTCTGTTGAGAGTTCTAGAGAGAAAAAGCACATTTGTAGATACACAAAGAAAATTAGCAATTGATGGGGTTAGGAGTGTGATCCAGGATTGGTTGCAAGTGATTACAAGACCATTTTATGGGGTGATAAAAAAAAAAGCTCTAAAACTAGATTTTGGTCATTGTTTTGTTTTGTGAACGAGTCTGCTGTAGTTCAAGCTGGCCTTGAGCTCACTATGTATCCCAGGCTGAACTTGCCACAATATTCCTGCCTCAACCTCCCAGGTGCAGGGATTACAGGTGTGTGCCACCGTGCCTGGTTCTACGTCTTAATAATTGTTACATAACTATGAATTTACTAAAAATCATCAAACTGCACACCTACAATTCGTAAATTTTGAGTTAGGGAAACGATATTTTATTCCTTCAACAAAATTGCTTAAAAATTGTTACTTGCCCAGATTTGCCTATCATATGACAGAACCAGGATTACACACAAGTGTGCCTGCCTCCAAAGCCTGAGCTTGGTAGCTTTTTGTTTTTGTGTCTTACTCTGTAGTCTAGACTGCCCTTGAACTCACAGTACTTCTCCTAGAGGACTGGCATGCCAGCATACCCAGCTACTCCTAAACTGTTTAGCATACATCTAAGAATAAACATAAACAAACGACAGTATTATCACATCTAAGAAAAATTCATAATAATTGTGTATCATAGAGACTAATTCTCTATCAATAATTCCATTCCACAGTATGTATTTCCCGAGTTTTCCCTAAAGTGTTTACAGTTGTCTTCCTCCAAAACCAAGATCCAAACATGGTTCATATGTTATTTTTGTCATTTTTATTGTTTTAGTCTTTTTTAAATTTAAAATTTTTTATTAGTACATGTTTACATTGTATAATATTTACATTCATTGTGG